ACGCTTACCTACTCGTATACACAAGTAGTGACGCCAACGTCAATTCCATCTTATGCCTAAGCATCTATACACATATGGCCACACATCCAGCCAATTAAATGGGCAATGACCAGCGTGTTCGCGGATGCTCGCCTCTATGTTTTGTTGCTTCCTCTCCAAGCAAGCAGCTAATTGCTGATAAGCAATTGAGTGTGAGATTCTTTTCAAGTTATAGAAGTAAGTATAATATTTAGTTATGTATGTAAGCTTGTGCGGAGGCTTATGTGTCACTCAATTTTGTATGTGTACATGTGTAGAACCCATGTCAGCTGAGATTAAGCGAATTCTTATGGATTTATAGGCGTTGGTTACCAGAAGAGAAGTTTTTAAAATCCAGAAAAATAAGACTACACGTTCAAATATGAACGTGCATGTTACTGCATGTGTATGCATGATCAGCCAAGTTTGAGCACATTTTTTTCAGTAGAAAAGGAACTAGAAATGGCAAAAACAAGCAACAACAAAAAACAACAACAACAATGAACTGCTGTTACAACAGCAATAACCACAGCATTAAGAAAACAACAACAATTTTGCTAACCTAACCAGCAACTACAACAGCAATAACATCAACTAAATTAAAACAACTAGTATAATAGTGACAACAACAACAATCGCTACAACAACAACAGTAATAACAACAATAATAGTATTTACAACAGCAACATTAGTAACAACAACAATTATAACAAAAAAGAACAACTACAACAACAAAATTTACTACACAACAACAAACAACAAAAGTTCCAACAAAACTAAGAAAATTTCTTTCCAAAAATCAACTCTGTGTGCATTTGGCAAAGCCAGCCGGAGAGTTGACTTGACTTCTTCGCCTTGATACAATCAGTAGCAGCCGTACTTGAGCGTCAAGCATTTGCTGAGTGCGGCCGACTGCACCAAATTCACAATGACGTGCTCAACGGCAGATACAAACAAACAAACGCGCAGAGAACCACAAACACATACACGTTCATGCGCACCAAACAAAAACATTCAAGTAATCTCTGATTGATTTTTCGGTCATTCAGTTTCGTTTTTCTTGAATTTTGTCTCAGTGCTGCTTCCTAGCGCATGCATATGTACATACATACATATATGTAAGTATGTATGTGTTTTTGTATATGTATGTGTGGAGCCTGGCTGTGTGGCCTCATTGCTTGTGTTTCTGTAGTTGGCTTCAGTATCAGCGTAACTTTGCCATTCCATTCAAAACAATTCATCTATTCAAACTCAATTCGTTGCTCATCGAAATCTCGCCGTCTCGTCTTTTGAATTTTTCGAATTTTCTTTTTGAATTTTTTCTTTTTATGCTTTTATTTTTTCTTTTGCTTTCTTAAAGCGTTGTTTGAGTAATCACAGCCAGTGGAAATTGTTACCTTTAGAAGTTTTATGTTATTTGTGGTAGTTCGATTCAATTATTTATTGTGTGGGTTTTTTTCCTCCGTAAATTTTGTAGACAGACAGCGTGTTTGTATAACTCAAGCCTTTCCGTGGGTAGTTATAGCATTTTCTAATATCAATTTAAGTGCGATTTATCAGTGAGCTGAGATCTAAACAGAATTTGTAAACAATTGATTTTGGACAGCATAATTTAGGCACAGAAGAGTTAGTTGTATGGAGTGGATTTCTGAATTGTTGAGAGTCTGCTTTTTCTGGATTTTTATTTTCATGATTTTGTTTTGGGATTTTTTTTTTTTTTTGGTTAAGAGTTTGGAATTTTTACGAAGTACATGATGCTTTAACCTTAAAAAAAACGAGCTTAAAAGTGTAGTTAAAGAAATAAAGGTCCATCACGTACCACTAAAGTTTTGATATTCTCAGTATAAAATATAAATTGGAGAAAATAACGGCGAATGATGAATCGCTATTTCTAACAGTCGGAAAAAATATCAGAAAAAACATGTTAATATTTTTTTGTTTATTTTGTTTCAGGCAGAATGGATGAAAACATTCCAACTCTAAAATTATTCGACACAATACCCGCCAGGGAAGAGGAAGACCTCTACTCTACCACATAGAGAAGGACTATAAACGCGTAAGCGGTGTCTATGCCAATAAAGAAAATGAAGACTTCAGGCAGATTTCGAAGCACAAGTGACCAACCCACTGTTCAAGCCATCGCAGAGCTTATCGCATTCGACTAGTATGAATTAAATAAAGTGGCTTCATCGAATGACAAGCGAGTTAATCTCTGCTGACTATTAAGAGTTAGAAAGTGACGAATCGAATGGAAGCTTTTAATTTGAGTCCCCAAAATAAAGAGAAAATTGCGGTATTCGCCAAGGCTTGCTTGTGAAAATATGTGTCATGTCTTTTTTTAGCTCCCAAATTCAGGCACCGATTAGTCTTGTACTACGGAGATTGGACAAAAAGACCAACAGAAATGAGTAACTTGATCATCTAACTCAAGGAGAAAACCTGGAACGATTAATTAAAATGCAACCAATTAAAATATGGCTATATTCAAGAGCTCCAAGAAAAGTAATGGATGGTAAAGTAATCAACAGAAAAGCTGGAAGAAGGTCATTCATTCAAGTTGGATGGACGAAGTAAATAAAGATTTAAAGGAACTGCAACAGAAAAACAAAACAAACAGAGTAACTCCGTTCCCACGACAGTCGGGTCTGCGTAACTGAAACAGATCCGGATTTTCTATCCCAACAAGGACTATCAACTCGACAGAATTCTGCCGCTACAATAACAACAACAACAGACAGAGTAACATGGAGCAACGTTAGTAAGCCGAAGCACAAAAACAGTTGTAGAGGCAAATGATGATGGCGACACAGTAGCATTGGCTTACAACAGTCTCTTATAATTGACAAAGAACCCTTACCCTTTTCACTGTCCTTGTTCAAAGGAAGGAGAAGAAGTAGACAAATCACTTGAGACAGTGTTGGCTCTCTCTGAATTCGACTCCATCTTCAGCTAAGCCGATAACCACAAACTTTACCAGCCTTTCGGCTTTAATAAAGCTTCAAGCCAAATACAATTTCATAGTTTACACTAAACTGCAATTCTTGGCTCAATATGCATCCAAATCTAAGATTTCATGGATTAAAGTAAAAACAAAATTAAACTCGAACTACACAAAGCATTGCAATACAGGCTCCTTATGTACATACATATATTTTTTGGGAGAAAATCTACCTTATCGCATTCAGTCAAAGTAAATTGTATGCAACGCACACGAACACACAGAAAGAAACACAGCGAATCACGATGTCCTGCGAGTATTAACAAAGTGAATTGTATAGCAAAGCCACAAAGCCATTAATCGCATTGCTGCGAAACGGAAAGACGTGCCTTATTTTCGGCGACGATACGCTTTTTTACAAATCCGTATGCCAACACTGCATAAAGAAGGCAGCGGCAACGCGGGTAGTGGAAGAAGAAATTAAAACGTAGCAAAGCAATGAAGTCGCCATGATGAGTTCAATGCGCAAAAGCACTGAATTCATGTGGATTTGCTTAAAAAGTAAACACGAAGGCAAAAGCTGAGGTTTGCAGCGCATTAAGGTGGAACTTAAAATAAAAAAGGAATGTTTTTCTACCGGCTTTAATTCGTACAATCGGACATACGATGCTCAGAGATATTACTTATAAAATTTGGACGCTATTGTTGAATACAGAGAGGTGTTCAGAAGTGGACGAGGTTTAGTTTACGCTTAGACGACTTACATATTTCACTGGAGACTCACAAGCTTCATCGAAGACACACAAATTAAAGCCTTTTCGTGGTTTCATGGCGTTATATTGCCTGCTTAAGTGCATACTAGAATATTTTTGACCAAGCTGGAGTCGTTTGAAGACATAGTACGAACCTCATCACGACCTCAAACTTAAAAGTTACTCTTTGGAGACTCACAAACTTCAGTGGAAACGAACATGAGCGTCAGCATTGCTTCAAATCTATATATTACACTAAGGAGATTCACAAACTATCTTCATCCAGCACGGAGGGTTTTAACCGCCTGCTTAAGTGCGCCCTCGAATATTTTTTACCGAACTTACCTAATTTATAGTACGAGCTTCGGCACGACTGAAACCTTCAGCTGAAGATCATCAAAGGCAAGTTTCTATGCCGATTGAGGACCATAAGATCTAATAGACGAAGGTTGAAATATAGATTACTCTATGGAGTTTGTCTCAAGACGACCTTGACAAACTTCGCTGGAACTTGGGGCATGCAAGCGGTGACGGCATCAAAAGTCCGATGTAAACTTACAAAAGAAGTTTTAGTTTAGTCCATAGGGCCCGTCTAAAGACAATCTTACAAAATTTCTATCGAACTTAGAGCGTTTGAAGCGGCGGCAGAACTTAAGGTCAGATCTAAACCGGCAGCAGCAGATATCAGTCCGAATTTCGCCTATGGAGGCCTGTTTAAAATTTCGTTCACGCTTAGAGCGTTTGAAGCTTCGAGAGTAACTAAATCAACAGCAGAAGCCATCAGTCCGAGTTTAGAATACTCTAAGTTCTGTTTAGAAACGATCTGTAATATTTTCGTTTGTACTCAGATTGTTTAAAACCGCAGCAAGAACGGTAGCATGTCACAAAGAAGACGTCAGAGAAAAATCTTAGTCCAGAATACTTTCGTTCGAACTGCGAGTATTTTGAGACGTGCCATAGTAAGACACAAATCTACGGCAAAGGACGTCCGAAAGAAATCTTCATGCAGAATATTTTCTTTCGCACTCAGATTGTTCGGAGCCACGCCAGGACCCATAGAATTAGACAAACCTACAGCAGCATACTTCAGAGACAAGGCTTCTACCTGAATCGAGATGATCAGTATCTTGACCGAAGTCGATATTAGCCAATAGAGGCTTATACGTCCATATTGAAATCGATATAGCAGACAGAGCTGAAAAATTTAATGGAAAGCTTTCTTCGCCACCTTTAGTACCACCCTAATGTATATTAATAACCACAATAAAATCACTTAAGGAAGTCAGACTCACCTTGTTATTTCTTCGCTTTCCGTTTTTGTTTTTCTTCACTTGCTGGTCTAAAAAGTAGCGAATGTTGTGTGTCGCAAAACCGAAACGGAAAATAAAAGTTGCCAGTCTTGAGCGCTGAGCGGAATTTCAATAGCAGATACACGGCGTCGCAGACGTCCGCATGCCGACCATTGCGTCGCGTACGAACAGCGACTAAAGTAATAACCGGCGGTGGTTTCTAGCACGTGGTAAGTGTGCGTCTCCTCCGCCAACTCCTCGTCTGGCTGGCGATTGGCGAGCAACCAAATACACCAAGCACTCGCGGCGCTACTACAAACAGCTGCTGCTGACGCGTATGCGACCTTAGTAATGTTACAAGCAATGTGTTGCAAGTACTTAAAAACGTATTTTGGAATATGACCAAAATGCAGACTATCCCTCTTCCGTAGTAGTTGTTGTAGTAGTGGTAGCGGTGTTGTTGGGGTGTTGTGCTTCATGCGCAGCTTTTTTCACGGAACAAGCGCCGTCCAAATTTTTTTTTTTTCGGTATGTATGTATGTGTGTGTTAGAGTGTCGAACACAGCGACCGACCGACTGACTGTCTGTCTGCCTGTCTATGCGGGTCTGTCTGTCTGATGGCTGTCTTTAACTATGCTTGCATGGCTTTGCCTGCTTTACGCGGTGCTTGCTTATGTGTGTAACGGTATTCAGCAAGCGAAAAAATCAGCACAGCGCCTGCTACTCCCCTCAGCTTGACTCAGTTGCACATATATACACCAATAAGCAACTATTATTATGCGACTGCTTTTACCGTTGTACCGTTATCGCATAGTGTGAGACGCTTACCACGACAAAAAGCTTTCAACACACACTTGAGCTGCTACTGGCGCTTGCTGCTTGCAACACGGCTGAAGCATGCACGAAGAAGGCGAGAAAATACAAAATGTTGCGGATGCAAAACAGTAGAGAACGAGCGACCGGCGAAAAACATTTGTTTGTAGTATATATATATGTATAATGGTTGTCTCTGTGTTATTGTAAAAAAAAGTAGACGTCGAAAACGGGCGCACGAACGAACGAACGAACAAACGATTATAGGGAGCGTTGCACGAACCGAAACAATGATAATAACACTACAGCAGCAACAACAACAATTTTCTATATATGTATGTGTGTGTGTCGGTGTAACAGAAACAAACTGAATGCAAAACTAACAGCACCGCTTTGGAGCGGAATTCAGCAGTTATCCTTTATTATCCTTTGCGATTTTATATTTATGCTTTCTTGTTATTATTGTTGTAAGCTTTAGCATACACACGGCACTACTATTTTAGATGTGTAGTTGAGTGTTGCCACAGCCGGAAGGATGACACTTCAGCACTGCGCCACACGACACTAAAGCCAACACATTGTCGGCGGCGATTTGTGGCAAGTTGTGTGCGAGTGTGTTGCAAGTTGCTTTTTTATTTTAATATTTAAATTTTTAGAATTTTTTTAATATTTTTTTTTTTGCAACTTTCGTTATTTTTCGTTATGAATATGCTTTATAACTGTTTTCTTTTTTTTTTTGCAGAATTTTAGCACTTTAACATACTTTCTGCAGTTTTTACATTGTGTTACACACAAAATAATTTTTTTCCAAAACACAAAATTAATCGCAAACAGTTACAGCTGCAAGAAGAATAAAAAAAATTCATAATTTATATAAAAACATTAATCTGGCTATGTTTACAACAATAAATTCACGTTTTTACAACAACAAAAGATACTTGTTTTGCTATGAAATTAGTTAGCAATTCAAAAAAAAAATCGAAAAAATGTTGCTTGTGAGGCGGCGTCTTTGCTTGTACGTGCCACACGCGCAACTCTTAACACTGCCAGCACGCAGTTTTCACATTCATAATGGGAGACAAGCGCGACATTTCGCAGATGCTACACATTTTTCACAAAAATATCATGTTTTTATACACTTTTTTGTTTATTATTTATCGCTACTTGCCTTATGCTCACGCACTTTTTTGTCTTTACAGATTTATTGCGGCACTTTTCCCTAACAGATTTACGGATTTTATCGATTTTTTAGCCGCTTGCCACACATAAACATGCTGGCTGATAGGCGCGCACAACACAAAAGCGAATACACAATAAAAATAATGTAAAAAACACTAAAAGCAGCGAGCACAAAGGATATGCGGGCCAGCAGCAGCACGACAACGTTGATTAAAATGGCAAATAAGCGCATAAACGAAAATATATAACTGTAAATTACAGTTTTTAACAAAGCGCAGTTTACTATTTCACCGTATTTAAACTATTTTGCAACAAAATTACGCATAATCACACAGAAACGCAGTCATTTCTGCAGAGAACACAAGTTAAACGCGGTAGCGCCTATAGATATGCTAACTTTTTGCAGCAAATTTTTATTCTCAAAAAATTTTTGCATAACAAAAAATATACTTTATTTCAAGAAAACATGTTAAAAACCAAAAGAATAGTTTGAACCAATCTTTCTTCGCCCTTCTATGGCGTGTCTTCACTATAAGATCACTATAATATCTCTGCTTTCCAAAAAAAAAAAAAAAATTCTCAAACAATTAACAAAACTTTTTTTCAGCAAATTTTTATTTTCGGTAATTTTTCATACCAAAAAACACATTTTTTATTTCAAAAAATGAAAACAAAACAGCACAAAAAATATTTTTAGCCAAACCTCATACAAATCACCAAAACTCACAAAGATTTCAAACAAATCACACATTTCACCAAAAAAAAAAAATTGCCAAAACCTTTAACATTTAAAATTCACATTTACTTCAGCAAGTATGTCTGTCTGTTTGTATACAAGCCCCGAAAAAAGGCTATCTGTACACGTTAGTCTACGGCACGCAGTGTCTTGGCTGCATAGCTGATTGTTTCACTGGAAGTACGAAACTCGACTGGTTCGTTCATTTGATTTACCATTCTGCGGGCGAAATGTTGTGGAAACGAAATGCAGCGAAACGAAATTGCACGCACACAAATACAGTGCGGAATGTCATGCACAAAGGCAAACCACACAATAAAAGGATAAACACTCACGCAGTGAGAGTGAGAGCGCGCAAGTGACAGAGCGCAAGCGATAAAGGTGAAACAGTGTTGGGTAACTGAGGTTAAACTATTTGATGAGTATAAAAAATTTTCAAATGGAAGAGTTTATTACTGAAACTTTATCAGTTTTCTGTTTAGAATAAGCTTTAACATTTTTCTTTAATTAGTTTTTATTGAGAGGTTATTTGCCAATAACAAGAAAATGTCTCTGAGAATACATTTAAGATAGCTTATACAATACCAGCTCGCGTGAGCGACGGAAGAGTAAAAGTCAAAATGAAAAACAGTGGGTTTCTAAAGTTCAAAAAATCATGTTTATATAGCTCCCGATCTAATATTGTAAAAGAGATCTTCAAAACCTAAAAGAATCGAAATGAAAACTGGCAGGTTGTCAAAATAAAAGAAACAAGCGGAGGATTCTAAAGCCTGTCAAAGTTAGAAGAAATATTACTTATATCTCTCCCGGTCTGAGCTCTTCAGAACCTAAAACTTTTATACAAAAAAACAAAAAAAACAAAAAAAAGAAACCGCAAGTTCCTAAGGCTTGTCACGACTAGAAGAACTCATAATTATGCAGCTCTCGAACTAATTCTAAAATATCTGATCAGGAAGTATCAACACGAAGCACACAAAGTCAGAGCTACATATAACTCATAATCAACCCGAAACTGTAAAATACTCTCTATGCAACCCTTTTCGATTTTAAAATAAGACAAAAATATTTTCAAAAGTTTTCTAAAAGTTTGATGGCATAGCTTACAATAGGGTGCTCAAAAATACCAGGTAGTAAAACTCCTAAGTTTCACTTAGCAGCAATACAAAGTTTCGCAGGCGTTTAATTTTTATTCCCCGCAGTTAGGTGGGATGTTTGAAGGCATGCGCTCCCAAGTATAAAGAACGAGAACCCAAAATTATTGAGCTCGATGTCAGTTTCTGAAATGCCAAAGAGATCATAATTTAAACCGAATTTAATTGTAATGATAGTAGTCTTATAATCTTAGTTAAAATCTTCAGCATATTGAGTAGTGGAGTCCCTTCAAATAAATCAGGTTCGTATGTAGGCGGTTTACTACTTTAATGCTGTTTGAATAATCTCTAATTACAGTTTAATTCTAATCAGTCCTCAGCTTATTGCAAACGTAGTGATTTTACTACATTAGAACTGGTTTGACGATTTCTAGACGGATCCAAACTTAATTGTAAAGATATTGTGAAAAAATTTCTTAGATTTTTCGTTCCTATAAAAATCTGAGGTACTGGAGAAGAATACTGACTATATGAAGATACGCTACTATATTTGTTTTCTTTTTTAAATCTTGAAAGGCTTAGGAATGTATAAAGAGCCACTGTCTAAAGGTTCTTGACTATCTTTTGCACGATGGTTAAGTCTACGTCCTGAACTAACCTAATCAAACATAAAGAGTTGAGTTCTTTAAATTCCATCGTAAAATCACCCGCCTTTCGCCAAAACCACAAAATTGTGATTTCAAAAAAATAACAAGGACAAACGAAACGGTCGAGTGTAGGGCAAATCGCTCGGAAAATGTAGGAACATCAAAAGTATATAAGCAATAATAAAGGCATGAAAACAGGAATGTAATGAGGCAGATGAACGACTGCACAAGAATAAAGCAGTAAGGCGAAGTAGCGATAACACAAATGGGGAACGCAAAAAAACAGTGAAACAACGGAACAGTAGAACACTGTGAATGTTCAGTACTCAGTGTTTCGCCATACTAAAAGAGAGAGAGAGAGTACATGCGGGTAGCAACGAGCGCCAAATACAGGCGCTGAGCGTAATGTTGATGAAAGTAGCAGCAAATGCTGTCGTTGCTCTGCAAATAGCAAGGATATTTTTGACAGATACTTATTGACACATACGCAGACACACATATGTATGTTTATATTTATGCAGGTGTGCGTGTTTATTTAAAGAAGCTGCTGTATGTGTGTGCTTTTGGATTTTCAGTTTCAACATTTATGTAAACACACGCACACAACCGACAAAGCAGCGAAAAGGATGCGAATCAGAAAACGAAATATGCAGCTACAGCTACAGCAACAACTGCAAGCACATACATATGTGCACATGTATGTCTGCTTACATATACATACATATGTCTGTATGTTAATACGTTTTGTCGACATACTTATCGCGCTGTACTGTATGGTAAGGACGAGGACACTGCAATACATATGGAAATATATCTACATATATATATTATATATATTTGTTTATATATACTCAAGTCTGTGTATGCAGAAGTATGTACGGTTCGTTGCCGTTGCCGCTATTTGGTTTTATTATCGCTGACTCGTTTCGGGACACCAACGATTGTAGCCGACAGTACCCGCACCCGAAAAATGCGCTCAGGAATATGGGTATAATCAAATGGGAGATTGTTGGGCATACATTTGATGCTTGGCATTTTTTTACTGTTTTGAGGAAAAGTTGAGTGTTTTTGTTTTTGAAAAGCGGAGTGTTGTGTATTTTGAGCGATGGTTTTGTGCTTTTTTCGAAGTATTTTGTTTTGAAAATTTTTCCAATTTTTCTTTATATAAATACTTAAAAAACTAGTCGATTTTGGCATAAAATCGCAATATTGTTAATTTTTGGCGTTGATTATGAGTTTTAGTGGATTAATTTAATTTATTAATTAATTTTTTATAAAAAAAATTCGCAAAAAAGTAGTAGATTTTGGTATAAAATAGCAAATATTTTTTATTTTAGGCTTCGGTTTTGTGGTTTTCTGGATTGTTTTTTTTTTTTTTTTTTTTTTTTTTTTTTTTTTTTTTTTTTTTTTTTTTTTTTTTTTTTTTTTTTTTTAGTTATTAGAATATTTCAACTAGTAAATTTGTGGTAAATAAAATACTTGTTAGACTACAAAAAAGTTCTTAATACCCGTGGATTAGGCCTACAAAGGCTTGGAGCTCTTACGAAAACGATATCTACTCTAAGGGCACTGTTTTGTATAAATCGTACTAATATGGAATGTACTATTAGCTCTTAAAAATACCGGTGTACTAGTAAATAACTATAAAAACGGTGATTGCTGCTAAAAATAACGCTTTTATGGCACTACACCGACTTTTGGGATTCCCAAGCACTCAAACTACGCCACAACCGTATACAAGCTACAGAGACTAAAGTAGACCCTATATACATATTGGTATATTTATTTTGTACACCATTTCATTTTGGGCATTTTCCTCTGCAACCACACACACACACAAGAACAAACACACGGCGCTAAGGCGTAAATCCAAATTATCATCCCTGTGCGCTGACAGGAACCGGAGTAGAAAACAAGGAGACCACCACTCTATATATGCATGAATATACATATGTATGTATGCATGTTTGTATGTAGTTGGGAGCAGTCGCAACGCAAAGCGTATCCCTCACACTGTTGTGCAGGAGACGAAATGAAAAATCAATGGGAAAATTTTCACAACACATACAACAATACACGGTTTGCTAGCGCCGCTGCTGCTTTTACTGCCGTTATTCCTGTTGGAGTGCGACAATTGCGCCTCGTAACAAGCGCGTTGCAAGTGAAAAGTGCAAATATTCTTAATTATTTCACCAATTAGACTGCGCTAGTGTTTGCTGATTGGCAGCAGGTGAGCGCTAAGTGATTTTCAAGTATGCATTGAGAACTTTTATGCGCCGTTAAACGCGTAGCACGGTGACGGGCGGCTTTGCAACACGCAAAATCACTAAATGCACAAATTTAAGCACAATTTTCTTGGCATTTTTCGACCTTTTTATTTCACGCTCACGCATTATGTCTGTATTTCACATATTCGCACAATCATATTTGTCACAATTAGCGGTTCGTAAAGGTCGCTTGTGCCGCGGCCCCACGCTTATGATTTAATTATTCAATTTGCACAATTTATTTCAATCATTTGTTTACCACTTTGCTACGGAGCGCTGCTGAGCTTGTCAGCGCGTTTTAAAAATAAATTTATTAGCACTAGCACGCCACCGCCCCACGTTGCACGCCCCACAAGCAACATACGCACTGCAATAAATACTGCATTTAAATTGTTTAGTGCAACGCCGTTGAATGCTTGCTTGCCACTACGGCTTGTGATTTGCATATAAACTATTTCACTTTATGCACAGCAATCACTTACTGCAATGTATTTACATTATATTTTTTCATTCACAAACACAATTTTCATTGAATATTTATTTAATTCACTTTTTTCTTATTTTTTGCTTCTCAATGCGTGTTACGAACGCGCGCGGCACCACCTCCCCAAAAGACGGCAAAACAGAAACAAAGTCGCTGTCACTTGGTGTGCAGCCAGCAGCGCCCGTTCAGTGTTGCCAGCGTTCGTTGGCGTATACTACGAAATTTAACATGCATGCGCAGCAGAGTGGAACGTTCTTCCAATCGGAACACAACTGCAGTGGGAGCGTATTACTAAAAGAGCGTAAGAGAGAGAGAGAGAGAGAGTTTGAAAGAGCGTAACAAGCGCCTAGAGATAATACAAGAGCGTATGTATACAAATTATGTAGCTTCGCAGTGAGCGGGTTAACAAGCGCAGAAAAGCACACCAAGAATTATAATTTATGAAACTAGGTATAATTTTAAAAGCTAGGCATTGGAGTTGTAAGAATAGAAAGTTATTTTATTTCAACAAAAATAAAAATTAAATTATTACTAATATTTAAAGGTACTAAAAATTATTTTGTTTTATTTATTTTTATCTAACTTGCCACACCGTTAGAAAACCAAAGTAGGTGGTAACAGTGCTGCCATTATGGTAAAGCTGCCAGATTTCCAAAACAATTGCTAAATTTTTTATTAAATGTTTAAAAGTATATATTTTATATGGAATGCCAAAAATATGAAAATAAATGTAAAAAAAAAAATTTTTTTAAATTAAAAAAATCAAGATAACTATAAATATGTTTTGTAAATTTGTAAGGTCATCTAATCTATAAAAAAAAACTAAAAAATTTAGTAGACTAAAAGAGCAGTGAGTTCTCGAAAAGTAATACCAAAACATCTTAGAAAATTACTAACATATCCTCGAGCGAATTACTAGTACTTAATTTAACTAATGGTGTGACACCTATAGATTCTATACGGCCCAAAAAGCCGCAATGAATCCTCAAAAATAAATACCACAACTTCCGAGAGAATTACTAATACATTATTTAACTAATTGTGTAACGGCTATAGATTCCATAAGGTCCAAAAAATTAAAATTTTAGAAGACTAGTGAATCATCGAGCAGAAATACCAAAACTTCGGAAAAAATGATTAATACCCCATTTAAATAATGGCGGCTATGAATTCTATGCGGCCCAAAAATTCCAACACTTTAAAAGACGAAATCCACAGATAATCTGTGAAAAGAAATACCAAAACTTCTGAGAGAATTACTAGCATACCACCGAGAGAAGTACTAATACCTCATGCAACTAATAGTATGATGACTATAGATTCTATTCTTCCCAAAAGAAAAGAAATAATAAAACCTCAGAGAAAATGACTAACATAAGAAAAGAAGAATCGTAATGTTTTTATTCATTCATATAGGTACTAAAACCTTTACAAGCCAGATACTGCCTACTTCGTGGAACCATTTCATAGCTTAAGGGTTACATATGTCCACTGACAAGTCAAGAAAAATGGGTTTTTAGTGACTTTTCTATAAGTAATATACTTTAATAATCGGGGGTTCATTTGTATTCCTTTGGTTCCATAACCGTTCTCCAGTAGGTCCATACATAGTCGGGTCTACATTACCGGAACGTAATAGGATTTTTTTGTGAATATTATTTACACTTTTGTGGTTAGTTAAATTAAAATTAAATTTACTTAAAATCGATATTACTATAAAAATTTTATTCCTTCGATCATTACCTGACAAACAGAAGATTTAAGATAATTTTATTTAATATAAGATTTAATATAATATGACAGACATTCCGTAAAATAAGGGTTTAAAATTTAAAGTTCTAATAATTTTCTAATGTCTTGAGACACACTTAATGTATTTCTATAAAAGTCAGAACAACTGCTTGATAGCTAAGTTTGGGTGTCATCAAACATTTTATACTCGCGTCAATTAGAAGGATCAAAACAGGGATTATAATTAGGGCCGTTTTCTCAAAGTCTGTTTAGCCACACGTCTGTTAAGTTCTAATTAATTTAACCAGGATCCCTTCTTTTGGTAAATAACTTGTTGTTTACCCAGAATTGCTAACCAGACCTAAAGAAAATGGCAGTTAAAGGTGTTGACAAAATTTTATTTTAAAAAATGTTTCGAAAGAGTTCAAGACCCTTTCTTTCGGTTAATAACCTGTTTTTTTTAAAGAGAACTGCTAACCAGGCAACTACCGGCATTTAATGGTTTTGACAAAGCTTAATATTAAAATATATTTCGAAAGAATTCAACATCCAGTCTTCGAATCAGTCTGAAAGCGTTAAATAATACTCCCTTACTCTCATTATTATGTTCTGCGTCATGACATTGATATTTTTATTAAAATGAGCCTAATCAAAATGGAGAGGAGGATGGAGTCATGTGTAGAAGTTCACGCAAGTGAGGAAAATGCTCTGATCGAAATTCACTTGGGAGTGGCCAGAAACGATTCTTTTACATATGGCTCAAGCAGCTCACGACTTCCGGTCTTTGACCAAGTATCCTCTGGGTAGCCTAAAAACATCCGTTTGAAGGCGAGCTAAAGTGAGAAGGCGAAACATCCCCTACATAGGGTTGTGCGCTAGGCTTGGCATCCGCCACGTAAAAAAATACCCCGAGTGAAAGGAAATAACTAGCTGCTGTTGTAAGCAGCGTAAGCGGTGTCAACGCCAATTAGAAGAAGAAGAATTAAAATGTTAAACAGAGAATTGGATGTTACATGAGGAATATGAAATCCACAAAAACATCTAGGCAATTTAATTGTTATTTCGCATTAAACTACATAATGGGTAATTAAATCCCAGATTAACGCTTCTTTGTTTGTTGTTCTTTGTGGGTATGTGTTCACTTCTTCAAGAAATCCTGAAATATTCTGATAAATAATATTTCAACTTTTCTCACATATTCTATTATAATACAATATTTAAAATAATTTGGCAATCCGAGGATTACTCCCGAACTAACTTAAGCACAATTTTATCGGTTTTACAGAATCTACTCGTCGTTTATTTTACTTAGTAAGTTTTAACAAATATAAATATTAAGTTTTACTTATTACTAACTAATAAATATTAATTATTATTAATATTTTTATTATTAATAAAATATTTTGTTTAATGTAAATATTTCATGAAGCTTTTATATATTCTAACAATACAAATTTCCTGATTTTATTTAACTACAAAGTGGCATGCTCTTAATCTACATAAAAAACTTACTTGACAATTCCAAAAGGGCATCACTGGTCGCTATTATTGACTGCGGCTGTCAACACTTGTTATTGCAGGTTTTTGTGACTACATTTGATTTGTTTATAAACTGTGCACCGACACCGTTTGTCGCATTAATTTCTCACTTAATATTAACACAAACATTTAAGTTTGCGCATTTCATTAATATTGCCGCACTAACTTTATAAAATCAGGCATAATTTATGCTTTACACTTCACCGTATTATAATTATTTTACTACTTTTAACACCGCCGACCGTACACACACGCACACACACTACACTCTCGGCTTGTTTACGAATGGGGCGAGTGGGAGAATGCAGACATTCCACCTATTGGAAGTGGCAGCAGTGTTGTTGTGTAAAATGCAGACAAACACAGCAGCGGCGCTTCCATGAAACAGGCAAGCGAAATGTGAAAAAAAGCAAATGTGAAAATTTGGTTTTCAAACACCACAAATTTCTAGCGTAAAACACCGGCAAACATTTATTTTTCATACAACACACGTGCAGCACACTTTAATCGATAGATTTCATAGAAAACATTTAATTTTCACACATTTTTATTTGGCTAAAACGACACAAATATAAACGCGACCGCACCACCGGACAATGAACTTATTACTTCGCTTTTGCGCTCTCTCGCTCAACTGTTCTTGGTGTGTGTTACTGCACTCATAGTTGCAGTGTAGAGTGTGCAGCTGTTAATGGTGTGGAAATCAACGGCGTTGCATTAGTTTGCTAGTAGTTTATAGTTATTTTATGGGGTTATTAATGGGTATAATTTATTAAAAATTAAAAAAAAAGAGATTAGCAAAAAATTTAAAAAAAAAATGTAAATTATTAAATATTTTTTCAAAAATATTGTGCGAGTGTATAAATGACTTTAAATATATTTTTATAAAATTTCATTATATAAGCACTAAATAATGTTTATATTGAACACAAGGAAAGCCTGATTGTAATTTATTTGGACGTATATATGTACTTATATGTGGTGTACATATGTATATACATATATTGTGTATCCAACTGTAAACTGTATTCGAATCTCAAGCGCCCAAAATTATGCAAAATTTCCTTATGCATATTTCAACACAGAAACTCATGGCGATTACCAATTTTTTTTTCTTGATCCATTGATGCAAGGTTTTTTTGATCCGTAATATCAAAGAGTTCTGCCACCTTTTTGTGGGAAATATGCCGAGTTCTTAATTTGCGATTTTACCGAAAAATATAGAAAAACTCATCAATTATATAAGTAGCTAGGTGGGAGCGTTTTCTTTACGGACTCAATTAGTGCTAGATGCTCCCTTATGATCCATTATCATAAAGCCATATGATCGTGCTCTCATCGTTGCGTTCGAATCATTTGGTGCTCTTAATGGATTTACTAATATCCCCAGTTCCATTTCAAGCCATCAAACCTTGAATGACATATGCGTGATGGATCCTATGTCGGGTTTCGGATACAGCTGGACATACACAGAGAAATTAAATTGAATTAAAGAAAATTGTTTTCTTGTTCCCTTCTTTACAGTTGCTGGAAATGTTGTTATAAAGTGAAAAACATATTCTCCAATGGCCAGTGCAATGTTATATCAACTATATGTCTGAATATACCTTGCCTGCACCTATTTGATAACTTCTCCTTTCTCGTCTCCTCATATTTAGACCGAAATATGTATAAAACTCTATTTTATCTATCGGATTCGTCTCCTAACTTGGCGAACTGCGCTGCTCTTTCGTTTTCAAAAATGTTCCTCTGACCGGGAACCCAAATTATGGACAAGTGCAGTTGACTTGCCAGTTAACTTGAAGGCTTCCTGCAAATGTTGACAATACAGGAATTAATCCTTGTCGTGAACAAGTCTAGAAACTTAGCGAAAATAATTGCTTTCTCTAACCTCTCGCTGTTAGTAAACAGATTTTCACACGCCTTCTCTATGCCGAGTACTACTGCTTGGAAAATGCTGGCTTTTTGGTAAACAGATAGAGGGAAAGAGTGAGAAGGATGCCATGGTCATTGGAGTATACCGCTACTTACTAACCCTACTCCGCAGTACTTTTTGGATCCGTTGGGATATTACTAAATCTGAAAGTGACCATTTGAATCCAACCTCTTAATCTTATAGCAGAACATGCTACTACGTTTGAATGAAAACATCTACAGGCAATTGATACAGGAGCATATTAGGCAAATTAATCAGACTTAATACACAGGATACCCCCTGCATTCCATTTAATTTTCTGATATTATACTATTTCTTTATTGCTGACCGTTAAACCAGTGCTCCATATTTCAGAGTGAATCTAATGATGGCCGTATACAACCACAGGACTATAATCAGTTTAAATCCCCAATTCCTGTGCAATATCGTCTCGTTGATCATTTTCCAGTCCAGTTTGGTGGGTAAGAAATTGCTGAACCACTGAGTGCAACTACCTTAGCTTTTGGATTTTACCATTGTTCTCGGTAAATAGTTTGAACCTTCGTAAGGCTCTTTCTACAAACTCTCTGACTGTGGAAGGAAACATTCCTAACACCATCAAAACTATGTCATCTGCATAGGCTTCTGTGTTGAAATAGTATGTCGTTCAGTGCTACCACGCATAAAAGCGGGGTAAGACAATCTCCTTGAGCAGTCCCTCTGATTACATAGCTTGTATGCAGCATCGATTTTATTCATTTTTACACAATTTCGCCTATGTTGAAAGCTCTTTCTTTTTCCACCGCCAATGTATATTGTTTCAGATCTTATGAGTTTTCTATTACATTTTTCAACTCATGAGCATTTTATTCTGGTCTTGATAGGAACAACCATATGATTTTTTCTAGTTTCGTGAGATGTAAGATAGCCGATATTTACCATGTTGACTCCTTTCAAACCTTAGAACCAACCATTGGCTTCTTTTGCTGTTGTAGCATATTGGGAATGATTCCATCTGAACCCGCCGCTTCAAAGGGTAAGAAGCTATCCGTATTAAGGGCTTACGTGATTTTTCTTGCTTACTTTGAATACGGATTTGTCTACTGTACATACAGCTTGTGTTGGTTGAACACCCATTACCGTAGATTGCTTCCCTTCCGGGGAACACTCTCCAACGGGGAGGGACTCTCCAGCAAAGAAGGTCGAAGCGCCTGCCCTCATCTCTAAATATGCAATATTGGTATGTTCTTTGGACGTTATTTTGTTCAGCCTGGCAGATCCTTTGCAGGTGTCAATTGATGTACAGAATACACACAGAATGGAGAACACACCATATGCTGTCATGAGTCTGCCTTAGCTTTTCTCACTATTTTTTGTATTGCTTCATGATTTCCTTATAAGATTGTCAAATTTTGATCGTATAACTTGTACGAAAGTCTTTTGTTAGTTGAGTTCTTATGTCCTTAATATCGCTGAACCACAAAGGAGGGGACTTGCTTTTCCTCGGAACACTTAAAGATATGGATTAATTAAAAGAGGTGGTTAAAGTTTTCTCAATCTTCTGCGACTCTGCGTCTAGCTCTTGAATATCACTCTTTTTTAATATTAGGTTTGCTTACTCTTAGGTCTGAGCTTCGTCTATAACCACGTAAGCCTACGCCACCAAAAAAGAGGACTCCTAAGTCTCTTGTAGCTATCACTGTAAATTTATCCATGTTTACCCATGCGGTTCTGTTGTTTCGGTATTGGACGGGAGCACCGAATTTCTCGCGACTGCTGAAGAGTATCCAGTATAAGATATTCCAACGATCTCTGACTGTTCAGCAAGCACCAGTTACTTTATTTTATTGACGGGTTGGTCATTAGTTGATGTTGATGGCCGTCCTGGTCGTGATATATATGAATAGCATTGGAGTTAGCTATGACCGTCCGAACACACTGAACGATAAAATCAATCAATAAAAGTCTTTTTTGCCCACCCTACATATGCAAGCCTTTTATTGAAGCTCAGTAATGTACATAATATAATAAAAAGGGAATTCTTCCAATGTAAAAACAATTTTCCCATACATATTTATATGTACATATATGCATACATATGTATGTATATCCATACTCACACATTTCCGCATTTCATAGCCAATAAGAACAAAAAATTTATTGTAATTAAATTTCATTACAAATATTTATTTATATTTAT